CAAAAAACAAACAAATTCCACCATAAGAACTACAGCGCGGGAAATCTCTATCCTTTCAACTCTAGTAGCTTTATAACGACTTTCAATGCAGCTGTGAAGAGATTTGGGGATATACCGTCACCCTGTCTTACACCTCTCTGCAGTTGGATGGGTTTCGTACTCTGGTTCTGTACTCGGATAGCCATCGTAGCCCTATTGTATAAACACTTCGGCACTTCGGGAAATCGGTCTGCAGTTCTTCAACAGAGCGTTGTCGCCTTCCTTGAAGAACAAGACCATCGATCTTCTGCTTCATGCTCCTGGAGTAGTGCTACCGTGAGAACGGAGTTCAAGAGCTTCTGAAGAACTTCAAGTACTGGCTTTCTACCCACTTTTAGAAGCTCTGCTGTAATTACTTCCCTGCCCGAGGCCTTTCCAGTTTTCAAAGTGCTGGAGAGCCATTCTGATCTCGCTCAAACTGACCTCCGGAATTTTATTGGAATAGTGTCGGATAAGACTTGCTCTTGGATCGTTACTAACACTTGCCTGTAGCTCCAACGATGACGTGTACAGCTGCCCGTTGAACCTCTCAATCTCACTCACAATTTCAGGTGTCCCAGAAACGACGCTATCGTATTCGGTTATCAGCTTCGACAGTTGGCTCTTACTGGCAGGCAAATTTCTGGCAAAGACTTTGGAGCCTTAGTTCAGCTCGATCGGTTCTTCAATATGAGCTGTATAGAAGTTACGTAAGTCTCGCCACATACTGCCGCATCTGTCTGTTCAGATGCCAATCATAAGATGAAGAGTATGATCAAAGAATTTTTGAGTTTTTGTCTTCATTAGACGTAACCTCTCCAGCTTAACATTTAGTTTCAATGTGCCTCTTACCATTTGGTGATCGCTACCAGTTTTCATCCTCACGATCACTGAGACATCACTGAACAATTGCCGTTTTGAATAAAAGTATTTTTACAGATTTTATCGCGTTTAATTTACTTATTTTAATTTCCGACGTTTCGGGTGCTTTGGATTGTCTGTTTAAAAAAATGTGGGAAAGAAAGATTTAAAGGCCGTAAGTCAAGAACTTTCGTCCTTGTTACGTCGAAGTTCAGCGCCGAAACTAAATCTCCCAAAGACGAGATTAAAGCGTTGTACAAATTACGCAACCGACCAGAGCTCACTATTCTCCGTGCAAATAATATATAAAGGAAAATATATTAAAAAACATCCTAATATTTCAATATAGGGGAGGCTGGGTACTACCACCTGCTTTGGATCCTGTAATTTATAAAATTAAAACTAAACCCAAGCATACCACTGCAAGACTTCAAGACACAGTAAGTTCATTCTGCGTAGATCGGACCAAAATTGATAATTAAACAAGTTGAAGGTACTCCGGGTTAACTCTGACATCGGGAAGTCAATCACCTCAGTCTCCCGTGACCATGGGTGCTGTAAAGCGCCCGAAACGTCGGGAATTAATAAAAATAAGTTAATGCCTTGACAGATGGATTGAAAAGTGATCCTTTAAAGATGCCGTTTTTCCGCTGTGATTTTTGCTAACTGACCTGTTATTTAAGTATCACTATCACTACAGTCTATCTTTAGTAATGGACTAAATGTGTGGTCTACGAGGTTTCTCTTTATTTATTTTATTCATTAACAAGTAAACATTAATACAAGTCACGTAGGTCCTTAGTTCATTTTGAAAGTTTTCAAATGGAAGACGAGGATAGAAACTTTTCATATTACTATTCCTATTACAGGTTTAGTTGATTGAAAGTAGCGCGTGTCGGATAACTTAAGGTTAGTTGTACTTACGTGCAATATATTGGTAATAAAAACATTAGTGTTTTAAAAAAATTCTAAAACACACTTTTAACGGATAAACTTCTAGAAACTATAGTGGTGCTCATAACTGCAATTGCGTTCTTCAACTTGTATATAATCGAACTGATTGTCGAGCTCAGTAGTACCGAAGCTGGTAGTTCAATAGATGGACAAATTATAAATAGCATAAACTAGTGTGTTGCGCATCTATTAATGCTCTCAGGAAACTGCTGCCAGTATGTGAGAAATATTATGAGTCTCTTATATACATTAAAAAGTGAGGATATTCTGTTTAAGATAAGGATAAAAAACCTTCAATCTATTTCTACCGCCAAATAACAGTACTTGCCCTGTAGTGTTATGGTCTGAAATGTAGAGAATACCTAGTATAATTGTTGCTGTGAGGTATTCCACAGAACAGACGTATAACTTAGTCCTCAGAGGTGACAACGCTTCTGTAGACTTCATTGCTTAAAGTAGGCTATAGGCGTCCATGGACTGAAGTAACCACATACCATCAGGTGGTCCGTTATTTGGTTTGTTACTTCAGTTTTATATAAAAAAATATCAATGAGGACATAGGGAGGAAAGGCCAGATACAATATGTTTTCTCGCAGGTTTACGCAATGTACTAGAGAGGTAAAAATAACACTATTTACGGTATACAGTCTTTCTACACGTGCGTTCTGTGGATCAAATACACACAGAGGGATCTTAGCATTCTTCGAATTCAATATAATAATACCTTCGATTTTGTAAAGCATCTGAGGTCTATATAAGACGACTTTTATGTTATCCTACGTAAGAGAGTTGCTTCATTGATGCATAGAATCCGGGGATGTAACAACGGCACCTTGAGTAGATGTGTGCATATGTACTCGTATCTGGCACCGTAGATAATAGTGAAAACTTTAAAAGGTGTGTTTTCAAGTAGCAGTGTGTCTTAATTATTTAAATTGTAAACTACAATTGGTAAAATTAAATTTTTGTACAATCGACTTCAATATAAATAATTTATTGTTGATTTTTTTAAAACCGCTCGACAGATCTCGATAAAACTTAAATGAGACCACCTGGAAAGTATACCCTTTGAAATAAAAAAGAATTTTCCAAATAGGTTCAGGCGCCTTCAAGTAATCGGTGAACATATGAGAACCTTGTCCTTTTTTGAAGCCGGTTGAAAATAGTTAATAATTTTGTTACTAACACATGAATTATGGGCTGAATTAAATTACTATTTTAAAGTTGCAAATATATTGTTATTTACGTTTAAATTCAAATTATAGACCATTCATCTGAAGATCTTTAATAAAATTAAAGTTTTTACTGTACCAATGGTTAAAGTATATTTTTATCCTACTAAAACATACATTTGAAAAAGGGACCAAAAGACGATCGGCTTCCCCGATAAAAGACTTGTGATGAAAATAGTTATATAGTAAATTATAGTTATACGAATGTAAAATTTCTTCAGTTCTTTGATATTAATTTTATGACGTGATCCGTCGACGTCTTGGCTGAAGTTGGTTTACCTATACTGACATTTTGTCCCAGGTAGATCATACTCGTCAAAACTGAAAACTAATTTAATTGCTCTTACTATTTAAGGCCATTTAATATTAATGTATCATTTTCATCTTAGTAAAAATCTTAAAATATTCAAATTCGTATCTCAGCATCATCATCAATCATTCAAAATTGGTACTACGTTATACGGCGTAATTTGTTACAGACTCAAGAGATATCTTGTTACATCAATTTGAGAGCACATCTGTTTTAAATTATCTCATTAATATCAAGACCATAGTGTATATAAGTAAGTAAATATATTCTTTATATGTATTTGTCTCACGCCGTGCGTAGCCGTTGATATTCTTGATAATTAAGACAATAAATATTGTAGATGCAGATGTAAAATGGACTAATACAATTATAATGGGTCCGCCGTCTGAGACAGACAGTGCAAGCCGCATTAAGCCATTTACGTGCAAATTCACGAGGTCCTATATAATGTATCTCCTGTTACTCAGGTTAACCAGGAGAGAAAAACACAATTTATACATATCAATGTGGCCCTAGCACATTGATATGTATAAATATATAAAATGATATGTAATTATTTAGCGGACAGGGCAGCCAATCCGATCTGAAAGGAGCACGTGGATAGCACAATGATACTAACACAAAAAAATCATATTGTTAATGAATATAAAACTGTTCATATTATTTAAAACATGTTTTGCTTACTACACTTTCCTTAAAATTTAACAACCTTTTAAAATCTGGCAACAACGTTGTCTGCGACGGCGCCTTTGTACGATTGGCCTGATAGCCACCCAAGCCGCATCTATTTTGATTAAATATTATTTTTATTTTCATATCATACTAAAAGTACCCGCACGAATCGGACAGTAGCTTTTAGTTAACTTCTTACTATAAGAGGCCGGCCACATACATACGGAATTCCGTTTCGGGATTCCGCTTCGATATTCCGATTCGGAATCCCGAACGCAGCAAGTCCATTATAAAATCTATGACTCGTCACACACGTACGGTAGTTTTCCGTTCGAAATGATGCGGGCAAAACGGGATTCCGTATGTGTGTGGCCGACCCGTTCGGAATTACGAAACGGAATCCCGAAACGGAATTCCGTATGTATGTGGTTGCCCTAAGAGGATTTTCAGTATCTTTGGTAGAAAATATCTCTATTTTTAATTATTATAGGTAAGCTTGCCTACTATGCCACTTAACGGTAAGCCGAATATGGAAAGCACACTGATTTATCTTATCCGATTGGCAAGCGTATTGGGAATTGTAACACCAGACTTGTAGCCTGTAGTGCCCTATAGCCTGCCCGTCACCGTGGACAATGTATATTATGATATTAATATTAAGTGTAGAATAAGAGAACAGTATAATTAAAAAACAACAGTTAAAGTCTTAAACTGAGCAGCACGTGTCCTTTTCATTCAACACCTTCCGACATTACAATAGGAAAAAGTATTTAGTTGGTTTTTACCGCCATCAATACAAGAGCCAGAGCTTCTCACATTTACCATAGTCCCTTACTTACTGAAAGCCACGTGTTGTAATCAAAAGATGATTTTTCTTATGACACTACCGCACTGGTTGATTTTAATCGGAGGTAAGATACTAAAATTAAGTTAAAATAAAAATATAGCCTTACCTTAATCATGGCCTTCAATAGCGCATATCTGGTAAACACGTTCCGCTCTGCCTTGGACTCGTTGTATCGAGCCATAAGTGTGACCAAGGCCTTTTTCGCGGTGTCGTAGTTCTCATCGAGACGTATCCGTACTGCGCGCAGACGCTCATTCGTTTCTATGGCTTCTTCCTTAGTTTGCCCACCTGTTAGAGATAAAATAAAAATAACTGCATTGTAAATTATAAGTAGGTGTGTGGTGGCATCGTTCAAAAGTGACTGTTGAAGTTGTAATACGGAAAAATCTCATGGCTTCTAATAGTCGATATCGTAGATGTTGGTACACACATCTGGTATACGACAGATGTAAAAAAAAACAAATTAAAAAATGCCTATTCAGCAGCGTCAAGTGTGCGAGACCTCTGGTACTAATCGCTAATCCTGCGGCAAAGCAGTACTTTTTGTCACCACTGTTAGTGGTTGATGATATCCCTCTACGATAATTCAAATAAATAAGAGTATGAAACAAGTCTTATAAGATTTAATAAATAAGTTAGTATGGTATAATGTTTTTCATATCTACTATTATCATTGTTATGAATCCGTAAAAATAATTTTACGATCTGGATGTTTAAAATTTTAAATCTAACATACGAGATGGTAATTCTGCCTTTAGAAGCTTAAGAGATATTTGTGAGGTTTTATACAGTTCAGTCTTTCGACATCTACGAAGCAATATAAAGGATGGATTTTCTTATGTTCACCTCACGACGATGCATTCTACTATACTTAATTGACTTAATTACAAATAAACATCATACTTACTGGAAGTGCCTTCGTCTTTGACATCTTGTACGATGCGTCGAACGCTTTGCGTAAATTTGCCGACTAGATTGGTACTTGCTAAAACAAAAAAAAAAAACATATATTAGAATCTACTACTTCTCTTTATTCACAGATACAGAAGGGAATGAAGCGGCCATGATTTTTTAAGAATTACTAACGGCGTGAATGTATGCCGAATATGCCAATCTGTTTTCAAATGTTAACCTCACCTGCACCGAAGTCTACACTGATTTTTTGTTAACATTTTGTACAAAAATATTTGCGGCTCATATTATATAAAAAAACAACACAATAATATCCACGATCAATGTGGTTTTAACTATAATAATGTTATATCGCTCGCATTCAAACCGAAAACACAATTGTGCACTCTAACGGACAACTTGAGCCGGCAGAGCCTAGAATTGAAAGCTGAATGCAGGGTAAGTAGTTGCATTAATGTGACAAAGGCATTTCAGTTAGTGACTGCTTCTGTAGGTTTAGTCATTTATGTGTTGGTGGATGTTTTTGTTTAGATTGAAACGTTTCTAAGGTTACTAATATCGAAAATATTCTTGGCCCGTAATCAGGAATTATTGGAATTATTTATTTTCTCCTCTTTTCTGATAGAATCCAAGTCCTTAATAAATAAAATAAAGAAAATAGATAATGGAATATTGTTCCATTTTTTATGGTTTTGATAAAAAATCGAGGAATTTATGAATCAATAAATAAAATGTTAAAATTGAAAATGATGGGTACGGCAAATTGTTAAATAAGAACTTTTATTTATTTTAATGCATTGCTGGTTATTTTACGATCTTTCTCAATTTTACGTTATTTTATTTTTTACTTTTTATAACAGTAAAGGTAACAGAAATTCGAATTGGATATTCTTGCTTTCGCCGATAATACATTTGAAAATCTATTTGTAAGAAATTTCATAAAATTGAAAAAGTTTGACAAGGGACTCGACGACGTTGACTTCTTCAAGGATTGAACTAAGTTTATCGTTTACACTGTAAGGAAATAAATGGTTTTGTCAAAAAGTTTCACATACTAAAATAAATGAAGGTTTTGATAAAAATATTTTGTTACTGGACATCAAAGATAGTAATTTTCAGGCTGTAAGCGACGGAGCAACACGGGCCACTACGGGCAGACTGGAGGGGAGTGGCCGTAGCGTTTTTCCCCGATACAGAACTGTCTGTAATGTTTTGCGGGAGAAATCTGCGCACACAAAAAATCGTCTGTTAATACGAAACTCACGCATAACAACTAAAACAATAACCTATCAATTTCACACAAACATAAATACATTATAACACTATTGTTCGCTGACAGCGATAGTTCGGATACAGACTCGGATGAGTCGCTTGATCGATCTGTATTATATGAGAGCGAACGGTCTGTGTTGGAAAACAAATCCAAAACAACACGAAAAAAATTTACTATCATCATCATTACAACCCTTAATAAGTCTACTGCCGAACATAGGCGTCCCTCAAAGAATGCCACCAAGCACGGTTCTGATCTACCTGCATCCATCAACTTCTTGCATGTTTTACCAAGTCGTCGCTCAATCTAGTGGGGACCGCCCCACACTTCGCCTACCGGTACGAGGCTGCCACTTGAGAACCTTGCTTCCCCATCGGTTGTCGGTTGTTCGAGCTATGTGGCCGGCTCAGTGCCACTTCAGGTTATTAAGTATAGAAGTAAATAACAATAATGTGATTAAAATTACTTATACATGAAATATAACGCGATCTCTTTGTAAAAATGAGATTCCAGATCTCTTTTTCACTACATTTTCACTACATAATCTTACATCTTTCTTAAATTTTTCTGTCGAGTAATGTTCCATAGTATGTTAAGCACTTATTACTATGAATATGAATCTTATTATTTGCTTTAACGGAAATTATTACGATGTAAATTACACAATACATATATTATTGAGACTAAAACAGTTTGACTTTTGTAAAGAAATCGTAACCAAGGGGAGGAATTGATAGTTACATTCACAACGTTTTGATTAGATTTTAGGTGTGATTGTGCTGCAAAAGTGTTTGACGTAGCATCTTATTGTAACTTATATTACACGTGTTGCGTAAGAAATGCAAGACCAAGGCAAATTGGAAAATGCCCAAAGGCATTAAATCCGCCAATTTTACACTTTATGCGCCATAAAGATTTTAAATTAATAAATTAATTAAATGTCTCTGATGTTGGCCACGCAGGCTACAGGTACAAATTAGCAAACTTTACATCTAGAAATATTCTATATTCTTTTAGATTTGTATACTGTGGTTTGTGTTTTCAGTATGACAGTGAATCGACATTTAATGTTCTTTTACAAATTTAAGATCTATTATACTTAGCTATTATATTTGAAAAACATCGCCTTACATCATTTAGTTTTAAATCATATAACTTTAACAATAAAATTACTTTGATAGCATTGATACTGTTCCTGGTAATAACTATCGGAATTAATCGATCGATATTTGCGAGAATGTCTTTCCTCTAAATTAGAAAAGTTTGAAAGGTGATCTGACGGAAGCTCCATTTGTTAAGCGTATCGTTAAGTTGTATCGGACAGGCAACATCTAAAGTAACTGTACTATTGTAATGATTGCTACAATTCTAGAAACTAATCTAGCTGTCTCGACACTAGTGAGACCTCTAATCTATTTTACAGCATAGGCTGCAGAACTTAGTCTGCTTGCTAATTTGGATATATGGGGGCCCCACTGAAGTTTTGCGTCGAGAGTGATGCCAAGAAAAATGGTGGATACAACAGGGCTCAATTCCTCCCCATTTAAAAACACATTGGTATTCAGATTTTTAACAATCGTTGTTGTAAATTTCTCACAATTAGTTTTATTTCTTAAAATACTAATACAATTGAAATTCCACTACTAGATGTATCTAATAGTGGAATTTCAATTGGTTTAGAAAATAAAATCAGAACTTGGCAATGCTTTTTGTTTGTTATTTATTGCAGCATACATACGTCCCATGGCAAATACCCCCCAATGACTAAAGCAACAAACAGACGGCCCCCAGTCCCCGGCGGCCCCGCTATTCCTGGCTACGGTGGCGACCATGGTAACGGCGGGGCAGGGGGTGCTAAGAATCTCCGGTGGAGGTTCGGTTGCCACCTTAGACGACTCGACCTGGCAACGTACAACGCACGCACCCTGAGGACTGACGAGAAGATCGTGGAGCTGGAAGAAGAGATAGACAAGTTGCGCTGGCATATTATAGGATTATCCGAAGTCCGAAGAGAGGGGGAGGACACGGTAATCCTCGAATCCGGCAACTTGCTCTATCACCGGGAGGGCGACCATCTGTCCCAAGGAGGTGTCGGATTTATCGTCCACAAGTCTCTCGTTAACAACGTTGTAAAGATCGGGAGTGTGTCGACGAGGGTTGCGTACCTTATACTCAGAATCACCAAACGGTATTCGCTGAAGGTCATACAGGTTTACGCACCAACCTCGGCACACCCCGATCAGGAGGTGGAGGAAATGTATGAGGATATCTCTAGAGCCATGCATTCCTCCAAAACCCAATATACGGTGTTAATGGGAGACTTCAATGCAAAACTAGGCACAAGAGAGAACGGTGAGCTGAAAGTAGGGAAATTTGGAATAGGGCAACGGAACCCAAGGGGCCAGCAGCTGGCCGACTTCATGGAGAAAGAGGGACTCTTTATGATGAACTCTTTCTTCCAGAAGCGGCCCCACAGGAAGTGGACCTGGTCGAGCCCCGACGGTTCGACAAAAAATGAGATTGACTTCATTATGACGACCAGACGACAACTGTTCAGTGATGTCTCCGTGATCGCGAGGGTGAAAACTGGTAGCGATCACCGAATGGTTAGAGGCACACTGAACCTAAACGTTATGTTGGAGAGGTCTCGTCTAATGAAGTCAACGCTCCGTCCCCCTCGTGCTCTGTTCCAAAGTCCCGAAACCTTTCAGCTCGAGTTACAAAACCGATTTCAGTGCCTAGAAGACTGCAATGAAGTGGACGATATAAATGACAAGCTCGTGGAAACTGTCCATGCGGTCGGAGCTAAGTTCTGCAAGACCCGCCGCAGAAGAACACAAAAACTCTCCGATCACACTCTTAATCTCATGGCTGTTAGACGGGAGATGAAGCTACATTCTTCAACAGACTTGACAGCATAAAGGCATCTGAACAGACAGATCTCCAAATGCATGCGGCGGGACTTACGCAACTTCAATACAGCTCGTATTGAAGAGGCGATAGAGCGGAACCAAGGCTCCAAAGTCTTTGCCAGAGATCTGTCTGCCAGAAAGAGCCAACTGTCAAAGCTGAAGACGGAATGTGGCAGCATCGTTTCCGGGACACCTGAGATTTTGAGTGAGATTGAGAGGTTCTATGGGCAGCTGTACACGTCATCGTTGGAGCCACACGCAAGTGTGAGTAACGATCCAAGAGCGAGTCTCATCCGACACTATTCCGAAGATATCCCGGACGTCAGTCTGAGCGAGATTAGAATGGCTCTCCAGCACCTTAAAAACGGTAAGGCCCCAGGCGAGGATGGAATTACAGCGGGGCTTCTGAAAGCGGGTGAAAGACCGGTACTTGAAGTCCTTAGAAGCTCTTTAATTCCGTCCTCCATGGTGGCATTACACCGGAGGCGTGGAGCAGAAGTGCGGTGGTCTTGTTCTTCAAGAAAGGTGACAACGCTCTCTTGAAGAACTACAGACCGATTTCCCTTCTGAGCCGCGTCTACGTGCTGTTTTCGAGAGTCATTACGAATCGTCTCGCGCGCAGACTTGACGACTTCCAGCCTCCCGAACAAGCCGGTTTCCGAAAGGGCTTTAGCACCATAGACCACATACATACCCTTCGGCAAGTTGTACAGAAGTCCGAAGAGTACAATTTGCCACTATGTCTGGCGTATGTGGACTATGAGAAAGCCTTTGATTCCGTCGAAATTTGGGCGGTGCTGCAGTCCCTTCAGCGGTGCCAAATTGACTGTCGGTATATCGAGGTGTTGAAGTGCTTGTACAGTAGGGCTACGATGGCTATCCGAGTACAGAACCAGAGTACGAAACCTAT